ACTGCCAGGATGGACACAGGAGTGCAAACTGACTATCAGCGAAAGAGAAAGAAAACCAACTCCTGTTGTTTGGATTCTGTGTTCCATCTTTGCTTTCACTTCGCATGCAATTCCCCATTACTCCACTGCAATCTTCGGGAAAACTTCCAGCTGCCTACCGAGTAGTCCACTTGGTTGCTAGCCAATGTGGTACTGGAGACATTGGGTTTTCATTTCGGGATTTTCATTTTCTTGATGTTGGCTGGGAAGGAGGAGAAAGACGGACTAGAATACAAGCATCACCTGGACGTGTGAGCCTGATGCCCCAGGTGCCCTGAAGCCTGTGCTCCGTTTCTTTGGGGGATGGGAGATTTATAGTCAGTGCTTCGGATGGGACTCTGGCTTCCTTTCCAGAGATGAAGTATTTTTGTCCTCATGTCTATTGTCCCTCACAAGGACCCAATTAGGAGAGATTGCCTCAACAGAGGAGGCTGATTAAATTCACAGATTTATTTCAAAACCACTTGGGGAATTGTGGAAAACGAGTTTCACTGCTGAGCTTCCTTGCTTAAAAAAAAAAAAAACACACGCACGCACGGAAAATCAAGCTGCAAACCTGCACCTTGTATCATCCACCTCCCGCAGATCATAAAACATCCATTCTCTGCGTGCAGGCTCTCCTTCTCCAGAGGCAAGATGCGGCTGCCAGGCTCCTCGTGCCTGCCGGGGCAGGCCCTGGCTCTGTGTGCACAGGTCGCAGGGGAAACCCTGACCCAGGAGCGGGCGGGGTAGACAGAGGCCTGCTGTCTAGGTCAGTGATGGCGAACCTATGACGTGCATGTCAGATGTGACAAGCAAAATCATTTTTTTGGTTGATTTTTCTTTGTTAAATGGCATTTAAATATATAAAATAAATATAAAAAATATAAGCCTTTGTTTCACTATGGTTGCAAATATCAAAAAATTTCTATATGTGACACGGCACCAGAGTTAAGTTAGGGTTTTTCAAAATGCTGACACGCCAAGCTCAGAAGGTTCACCATCACTGGTCTAGGTGAAGACGGAGGGCCACCCTTTGCACAGCTTGCACCAGTGTGAGTAGGCAGGCCTCGTTTGCACTGGGGTCCCAGAAAGGCAACTGTGACAAGGTGTGATGGGAATGAAATCAGATTTTTCCATAGAAATGAGGATGGCACTGAGGATGCCTTCCTGATCCCAAAATCTGATGCCCCGAATGTTACAGAAGTAACCACAAGCTTTGCTTTCAAACCTAACTTTCTAAACAGGGTGTTCAAGACGGACATCCCCCGTCCAGAGTCCTCAGTTTTATGTATTGAAGGCATTTCTCAAATTGTTTTCTGCAGAAAACTAAGCTCACGGCGGCCCTGGAATACAAGATTTGATGTGGCATAGTCGGGGCAGCACCGCCTGCTCCGGGCCCTGGTCCTCAGTCCTTATTGACATCTGAAAAGTCACCTCGAACTCTCAGAGAATGTCTACCAGAGCCACGCCTTCCCCAAGCCTTTTATTTATTTATTTATGTTTATTGTTTAAAGTATTACATATGACTCCCTTTTCCCTGATTCGATTTTACTTTTTTTTATCTCATCAAATCTTCAAACGATAATTTCTGAGGTGAATACTAATTTATCCCAGTTTACAGCTGAGGAAAGTGAGGCTTGGAGTAAGCCAATGCGTTGTCCTCCTTTTAAAGGTGAAAAGGCGAAAGGTGGGGCCAGGGCTCAGACCCGCATTCCCACTCACAGTCTATGCTCTCCCAGCGGTTCTCAACCCGTGGGTCGCGAACAATGAAAATACCTCCTGCATACCAGATATTTACATTACAATTCATAACAGTAGCAAAATTACAGTTATGAAGTAGCAACGAGAATAATTTTATGGTTGGGGGTCACCACAACCTGAGGAACTGTATGAAAGGGTCTCGGCATTAGGACGGTGGAGAACCACTCAGCTCAAGCACTTTCCCTGCTCATGGACTCCTCACAGCACTGTTTCTGTGTCTCCTTCTTATGCTTTCTGCACAATAGCGTGCACTCCTAGCTGAGACACTTGGTCACCTTTGTGGGTGTGTTTAGTTTTTATTCTTGTCTTCACAGGGAGCCGGCTCGGTATCATTTCAGGAGCTCTCTTCCCCCGCAATGGACTTTCGGTCTGGGTCTCCTTGGGCCTTTGTGGAACTGCTTGGAGCACGGTTTAGTGGGTTTTCATCTGTATCCTTGACAGCTTATGGATAAACAAAGATGTAAGGGAGACAGGATGTGTCTGCGTTTATTTACCCTGCCTCTGGCAAGGAGTTTGCCTCTGTGAAATGATGGAAGTGAGTAAAAAGTAAAAGCAAGATGAAAAATGATGCCCACGGGACACTTCGCTCTCGGGATTGAGATTTCTTGCTCCATTGGATCTCAACAACTGTTAGTTGATAAGTAGTTTCAGCTGAGAGGAGTTGGGGGGAGGGGGAAGAAGGAGGGACAGAATGAGAATGTCCCCTCGGAAATGGTTCAGTAAACCTGGAAACCAGGCCATCCTCCAGTCACCTTCCCAAGGCCAGGGTGAAGAACAGAGCTGGCCCACCTGGCCTTAGCAGAGCCAAACACTAGACACTGAGGACCGCAGTGGAGGAAGATTGGCTATTTTATTCTGAATGGCGCCACCCAGGAGAACAGGAAGCCAACGTCAAAGCCTGAACCCCATGGCAGCCTGTCAGATACAGGTCACATAAGGCAAAATCACAAGGCACAGTGGGTTAGGGATTCAGGTTTTCGGGTTGTGCTGGGAGCTGAGTCATCAGAGCTGAGGTGAGGGGGATGAATCTTCAGGTCGTGAGGAGAGCTCTGAGGTCTGTTCCCTTGTCCCCCGTCTGTCTCCCGGGGAAGTAGCCAGGGGGTCGTTCCACCTTAGGGCTCAGGAGCTGAAACCCAGCCCAGGCCAGGATGTTACCTTTATCCTGCCGGAGGCCCAGGCCCATGACCATTAGTCAGACCGACTCCTGTCTTGCGCTGCCTCAGGGGTTGCTGCTTATCTAGAGAAAGGCTAGGTCTCTGAGGGGTATAGACAGAGAGAGGTGATTTCTAGAGCTAGGATTTAAAGCTAAATTAAATCACAGTCAGAAGGACCCTCAGTGTCAGTGGCGCTTGCTCAGGAAATGGACTTTCTGAGGGTGGAGAGAGGAGAATGTGAGGCAGAGACAAGGTACTAGCATTGGTGTCCTTGGTTCCATAAGATTGCACAGGGCGCCTAATCGCTGCCATCAGGCTTGACCCCAATTAAGTTGCTTCCTGGACTGTGGCTCCGAGAGCACACACATGATAGGATTTGCCCTTCCTCTGCCCCCTTGGTCAGCCAGGATAATTTAATGAGCATCTACACTGTATTCAGCATTTCCTCTACACACAAAGGCCAGTTGCCTGGTGCGAGGAGGATGACGCTTGAGGAAGTTTTTTGTTGAAACTGTGCTTAAAGCTCTCCATGGTTTATCTCCTTCCCTATCTTTACAAGTCTTACAAGGAAGAGCCTACTATTAGTCGTGTTTTACTGAAGAGCAAATTGAGGCCAAGAGAGGAGAAATTACTTATAAAAAGACACACAGGTAGTCAGGAGCAGAGACGGGACACTAACTCACTCCCTGGAATTGTAAAGCCTGTACCTGCGTGACTGTCAAATACCAGCTAAGTGAGTGGGAGTGCCTCTTCGTGTTGCCCAAGTGGACTCCATTCAGGAAATGTAAATAAAGAAAAAAAATGTTTGCTTCATGTATTAAAAACAAATGATATTACTAACCAAGTAAGTGGGACCTCAGAAGAAAAAAATTAGGAAATCATTTATTTTAGGGAAAACACAAAGTCTATGGATACAAATTATTCTGGATAAAATGCTAAGATCACCAATGTTGCCTCTGCCTGAACAGCCCTTCTCTAGTGTGGCTGCGATGGAGATGCTGGAGTTCACTCTTTATTTCTGCAGCCTCACGGAACGTACTTGAAGCTGGTCTGCATTTGCTTCTTTCAAACAGCACCATAGCGAGCTCACCTTCAAAACATAGGAGATGGCTAGCGTCTCTCACCATCATGAAGATGCCAGTGAAGGGGAAGTGAGAGGGACGTTAATGCCATCGCTTTCATTCACTGAAAGCTTTACATATTAAGCAGAAGCTATTCAGTAAGAAACAGAAATGAGCTATCAAGACATGAAAAGACATGGAGGAACCTCCGATGCATATTGCCAAGTGAAAGACACTAATCTGAAAAGACTACACAGTGTAGGAGTCCCACGACCTGACATTCTGGAAAAAGCAAACCTGGGGACACAGGAAACCATGGGACCTGGGAGTGCAGGACAACGAACCTACCCCGTGTGAGACTGAGATGGTGAACTCATGTCATTGTACAGCTGTCAAAATCCAAAGTGCGCAATGGAAAGAGTAAGCCCTCATGTAAACTATGAACTTTAGTTAATAATGTATTACTATTGGCTCGTCAATTGCACACGGATGTAAGATGTGAATAACAGGGAACCGTGGGGCAGGGAGAAGGCTGAGGGAGGAGATGGGAGCTGTACATTCCACTCAATTTCTCTGTCAATAGTAAAACTGCTCCAAAAAAAGTATTTTTTTTTTTTTAAAGCAGATGAGAATCACGCTGTTTTTCAGCATCGTGGCATCTCTTTAGATGATAGTCCTCTCAATGCATAAGACCAACCAACTCTGCCCAGGCTGTGATGACCCAGGTTAGAGGAAAGGTCAGGTTAAACGTCTCGCTGGGCTGGGAAGACAAAGCAGACTTTGTGTCACAATAGAACTCATCCCCTGGAACAGGGAGATGGCAGGAGATAAAACAATACTCTTTATCACCAGCAGATTAACCAGCAAGGACTGGATCTTTCCATTTATCTTATAGGCTCCGAAGGACAATGGGCCTTCTGTCCTTACACCTGGTGAAGGGAACGGCGCCCTCGGCTGAGCGCTGGTGGGGTTTACGTGAGGCCATGCAGTTCAGATTTCATACCTGCGTTTCTGACAGTGCATCCCGTTTCATAATCTGCCCGCCAGCCACGGGACTTGGAAGCGGAGCCATCAGCTTTCAAAGGGCAAGAAGCAGATCTGCGGCTTGTTTGAGAAGAATGCTGGATGTAGACATCCCTGATGGAGAGCAAGATAACAAAGTGGTGGCATGTTTCCCCTCTCAGTCAGACACTGGCCAGGAGTCCAGGAGGGCCTGCTCCGTCCTTGTGCTCAGCTCCTAGCTCAACACCAGGCTCAGAGTAAGTCAACAGAGACAAGGCCTGCTGGCCCCGTGAACCTCGAAGACAGAGCACATCAAAATGATTCGTCAAGATTAACACCTTGTTTTTCCTGCTTCACTAAAGTTTCCAGATCAATCTCTGTGGGCACCTGTGTGTTGATGGTTTTGTTTATTCTAAATCCTTGTTTGGAATGGGACCAGCTGGATTTGACTGACTTCGCTTGGGAACAAAACCCCAAATTTCGTTGGAGCAACCGACCTTCCCCCTATTGTGAAGTTTGAATTTAATACTTCCTTTTGGCTCAAGAGGATGGTCTGTGGCCTGGGCCCAGCCCGTCAGAGCTCTGTGTCCCTTGGCCTCAGTGGAATTCAAAGAAGGACACATTCCTCAGGCGGAGCCATGAGACCTGGGGCTTTGCAGGCATGATTTGAAGTAGAAGTGTTCTTCATCTGCTGCGGTTGAGAAATTGATAAAATGAAAGCCTACTTGCTAGTGTACTTCTTAACCACCACTTGGGGAAAATCTCCCTGAAAATAAATCCACAAGAGTAGAAATGGGTTGAAAGCTGGGGAGAGAGCAAGTCCTTATGAAAATATTTAAGCAACTTGAACTAGCAACGCCTGAAATCAACACATTTCCTGGAGCTTTCAATGAAATGGGCCACTAAATTCCCAAGATTTCTACCACTGTATAACCAATTGTAATTTACCCATGTACCCATTTTCCCCCTCACATTGAAATTTTGTGTGTTAAGAACCAAAACAGTGCCTGGAATTATGGCTTTATCATTGTAAAAATGACTGAAAGAAGCTCAAACGTCATTTAGCCTGATGGGGAAACTGAGGTTGAGGGAGATGACATGGTGAGTCACAGGAGCGGCCCTGAAAGCCAGCTCTGCCACACCAGCTCCTTTGCAGCACACACTGCCTTGTGCTCCTTAACAGAAGGCACTGCCTTCCCAGAGGCACCTCTGTTAAACTTCCCAAATGCTTCCAGCTCTAGCCATTTTCCTCAGTGGTGAGAGGGTCAGCCCGCCCACCAGAGGTTTGCGGTTCAATTTCTGCAAAGGCATGTACCTGGTACCTCACTTGCAGGCTTGATCCCCAGCCCCTGGGTGGGAGTAGGGGATGGGGGTGTGCACCTGGGAAGCAACCAATCGATGTGTCTCTCTCACATTGATATCTCTCTCCCCCCCCCCCCACTCCACTCTCTCTAAAAGAGAGAGAGAGAGAGAGAGAAAATTAATGGGAAAAATATCCTCAGGTGAGGATTAAAAATAAAAGAATTTGTCCAGACCAGTTAGCAAATTGTACCATCCTGAGACTAGCCCCTTCTCCCCTCAGGACTCTTGGATCTCTCCATAATTTAGTTCAGAAATTAAAGGGATAATGTCTGTCCCTGGGCCAGCTTCCATTCTAATTATTCACACACACCCCTCCTCAGAGCCCTTCATTAACACAAAGCCAACACACAGACTGTTTCCCTCTAGATAATGGCAACTTCATGGGTGAATTGCAGGCCATATCTCAGTCATTTGGGATAAAATTGTTATCTCAAATATAAGAGGTAGATGAAAGCTAATTATGACAACTGTGCCCAAGACAACATGGGGCCAGAGAGGAGAAAGTTCAGCCCTGGCATTGGGACCTCTGAGGAACCTTTCATCCCCTTCGCGTGTGGTTTAAGACACCCTCCCCATAGAGACGGACATGCAGGCATCTGAATTGTCAGTCAGGGGCAAGAAGGGTCTGCCTCCCCCTTCCTTCTGTGTTGTGTGTGTTTTCTTAAAGCATGAACTTTTCTATTTTCTTTCCTTTTTTTTAAGCCTCACCTGAGGATATTTTTATTGCCTTTAGAGAGAGGAAGGGAGAGAGAAAGAGAACAAGAGAAAAACATCAATGTGAGAGAGATCGATTGGTTGCCTCCTATACGTGGCCCAACTAGGACTGAACCCTCAACCTAGGTATGTGCCTGGAGCTGGGATGGAACCCATGACCTTTCAGTGCACGGGATGATGCTCCAACCAACTGACCATACTCTCAGGGCCCTTGTTTTTTGGGTGGAATAGCAGAGCCTCTCTTCAAGTATTGGGAGTTCTACCGACAACAAAGGAAATAGAAGGAAAGCAAAGCTGTGAAATGAGAGACATCAGGCCCAGGCTCCTTCTGAAGTCAATGGGAGGTGAGCTGCTCTCTCTGACCCGTTAGTAATGGACCTGGAGAAACTGCTGATGGACGGAAAGCTCTGCTGCCTGGAATCCCCAGCGTGAGCCACCTGTGCACAGCTAGCCAGTCTGCACACCATCTAGGTCCCAATGGTCTGCCTTCATGAGATGATGAATACAGAGGACGGACTCAAGCCATTGGAACATCTGCTTCCCTTCATGCCTTACCAGGATTTGTGGATCACCAAATAATTTAAAAATATGAATTTATAAGCATATTCATATTCTACCCACCAATGTTCTTTTATGGTCCAGACATCTATTTAGTGGTAGCCACAATTTTCTTGTGTGATGTTTGAAGCAGGAGATATACAGTGGTTGAAAGCATGTATTTTAAAAAGCCAGAAAACTCCCCACCTACTTCCCCTCCACCTAGTTATCTCCTTGTCCTTCTCTGGGTGTTGGCTTACAGGTCATTCTCTGTTCCATTCTCCTCCCCAACTAATTTAGTGTCTTCACAGAACCTTCTGATTTCCTTTTGGTAGCTTTTATTATATCTGTAATACTTTTCTTAATGCCTGCCTTCCCCCCTCGACCCAGAAGACCCCCAAGGATTGAGACTGCATTACTCTCCCATATCCCCAGCACCTAAAAGAGCGTTTTGTTTACTACGACTGGTATTTACTGGGTCAGGTAGGAGCACTGAAGGATGCTGACACCAAGCCCCAGCTACTTGTGGAGTGGGCCCTCAACCATCCTTCAGCACGTGGGAAAGGCTTTTATAGAGACAAGAGTCATCCAGGCATACAAGTCCTTCAGCTTCGCTAGTTCCCAAAACACTTTCTGGTTGTCTTCTCTTGCTGTTTCTTTAAGTCCATTATCTCCTACCCCACGACTTAAGCCAACCTCCACTCCATGCCATTTAACTGGTACATAACTGAGTTTTTCTCAAATTCGGGTCCACACACCAGTGGGGTTGGCTGGCCTTTGATTAGGGTTCTATGAATTCCCTCTGAGATTTATAAAGAGATGAAAGCACATACTGAATCATGCACATGAATCTTTTAAAATTGAATAAAGACACGTGATTTCAATACCTGGAGGTTTTTTAATGTACTGCAAATTCTCTCACACTCCTCCCTTTAAAACATGGAGTCTAAGTTCCCTTTCCTTGAACCCAGGCGGGACTTTGTGACTAACGAGCAGAGTGAGGCAAAGGGACCTTGCATGACTTCCGGGGCTAGGCTAGGAAAGGAGATAGGACTCCACCCGCTCTCTCTGGCACATGCACCAGGAGCATCCTGGAGAAATCTGGTTCTCCTGAAGCTGCCGCTGCACAGACCAAATAGAAAGACTGCATAGAAGTTGCTAGAGAAGCCACAACTGTCCAAGTCTCTCTAGCCCAGCTCTGAGGCCTGGGAGTGGTAAAGACTTAAAGATGACCCCAGCCTCAGCCACCATCTGACGACAACCGCATGGAAGACTCCAAGCCAGAACTACCCAGCTGAGCCTCTCCGGGTTCTGACCCTAAGAAACCATGAGAAAGAAAGATTGTTGGTGTCTTACACCACCGACTCTTGTGGCATCTGTTACAAAGCAAAAGATAACTATCGCAGCGTGCTTGCTTGCAGTTGGGTTTGTGATTGCATTGGAATCTTTGTGCCGTCAGTACCCTACTCATGTTGCAAGCAGTTACTGGATCTCAGCCAAACAATTCCAGCAATTACATTTAACAAATGCACTCAAGTTTAATTTTATTGGCTTTGTTTTGCTTTTACTTTTTTCTCCGATTCTATTTAACTTTGCCATTGCTTATGTAAGTTTTATATGTATCATTTAAGTAACATTATAATAAAATAATTTAAGTTAACACCAGAGGACCACACTTCTTTTTTCTTTAAAAGGAATCTTAAATTTGAGAATCAATGAAAGGGGATCTGGGATCTTCAGAAAGGCATGTGTATCTATAAGATACTATCCTCTTATTAACTGTTGTTAAATGAAGTGATGCCTACTACTATTCACCCTAGGGCCGTGGTTGGCAAACTGTGGCTCACGAGCCACATGCGGCTCTTTGGCCCCTTGAGTGTGGCTCTTCCACAAAATACCACGTGTGGGCGCGCATGTACAGTGTGATTGAAACTTTGTGGCCCATGCGCAGAAGTCGGTATTTTGTGGAAGAGGCACACTCGGGGGCCAAAGAGCCACATGTGGCTCACGAGCCGCGGTTTGCCAAGCCACAGTTTGCTGACCACTGCCCAAGGGCATTCTTCATAATTGTTCAGAGATGTAACAGTTCAATTGTAAGGTTAGTGTATCTGCCTGTAAGTCTCCTAGTTTCAGCCTTCTGTTGGAAACCCCAGTTGATGGCATGATTTTGGTCCTTAGTATACATGGCCTGACGTTTTTGATCAGCATCCACTTATTCCTCCTATTTTCCATTTTCAGCTCGAAGATGGCCACCTGTCTTTACCTCACTTACATTTTAGAATAGGGCACTTAACTGACATTCTAAATCAGATCATTATAAACATACTTGTCAATTATGATGACTACCCATTCATTCATTTTTATATCATGCTTAAACAAAAACTCAAAAGCTTAATTTGTAACTTATGCAAATATTTATAAATGTACATTTTTATTTTATGTGGATAGTTGATAGATATAACACATAGCTTTCCATTATATGATGTAACAAGTCTCTGAAAATAGTTTGATTTTTAAAAATA